TAGACGTTTCGCCAGCCAGTGGCTTTGTCAGTACAATACAAGGGCATAATGTGAAGAATGTTGAAATATATGCAAAAGATGAGGTAATCAGTCCCTCAGCCTTGGAGTTGAAGATCACCTTAGTCTAGAAAACTACGGTGCTGTTCACTTCAAGGCAGAGGGACTGATTACCTCTTTTGCATACATTTTTGCATTCTTCCTTGTATTGATAAAGCCACTGGTTGGCGAAATGTCTACAAATATAGCCAAATGTTGCACATGTCTTAATTCATCTTGAAGATAATACATACCATTCATGTGCATCTCTTAAAAGCAGGAAGCGTATCTTTACTATGCTTTTTCTTCGTTGCCTGATAAATGCCACTTCAAGGCCTAACATGCGATCATTTCATTCTGAAAAACACTGAAATAAAACCTCAGAATCTTAGTGATCGTTTTATTGACCTGGATAAACTGATGGGTTTAAATAAAATGTATATATAGCTTTCACTTGGCTGGCCAGAACCAGCGAGTCCTTCCTCTCCAGGACAAGTGACAGCTCTTGCATGCCGGAGGATAGTAAGAGCTCTTGATTCAAAGAATTGATGGCCCAGTATGACCCTTATGGGTTTAGCGCTTAATGCTCATTGTAAGAATTTAACCTACCCTTGCTCTGTATAGTACCTGTGTGTTTAACGCTCCCCCATGATTATAATTCCTCGTGGATCTCATTATTCCTGAGGCGCTCTCTGACCCATATGGGTTTAGCGTTTCAAAAAAAAAAAAGATACAAATTACCTTGGAGGTGCCTTGCAGATAAGGGGCTCTTGATACACGGCGTTAGAGATGCCCCCTCTAGGATCGAATCCCCCTCAAGGAGGTACCTTGATGCTGGTGAGGGGCTCTTGATCTAGGGAATAGGATCTGTGCTCCAGTTCCCTGAATTAAGCCTAAATACCTTCAATGTCCCCCACAGGCGCTGTATAATCCTACGGGTCTAGCGCCCTCCATCACTATGACAGCCTGTTTACCTGGAGAGAGTTCCGGGGGTCAACGCCCCCGCGGCCCGGTCTGTGACCAGGCCTCCTGGTGGATCAGAGCCTGATCAACCAGGCTATTGCTGCTGGCTGCACGCAAACCAACGTACGAGCCACAGCCCGGCTGGTCAGGAACCGACTTTAGGTGCTTGTCCAGTGCCAGCTTGAAGACTGCCAGGGGTCTGTTGGTAATCCCCCTTATGTATGCTGGGAGGCAGTTGAACAGTCTCGGGCCCCTGACACTTATTGTATGGTCTCTTAACGTGCTAGTGACACCCCTGCTTTTCATTGGGGGGATGTTGCATCGTCTGCCAAGTCTTTTGCTTTCGTAGTGAGTGATTTTCGTATGCAAGTTCGGTACTAGTCCCTCTAGGATTTTCCAGGTGTATATAATCATGTATCTCTCCCGCCTGCGTTCCAGGGAATACAGGTTTAGGAACCTCAAGCGCTCCCAGTAATTGAGGCGTTTTATCTCCGTTATGCGCGCCGTGAAAGTTCTCTGTACATTTTCTAGGTCGGCAATTTCACCTGCCATGAAAGGTGCTGTTAGTGTGCAGCAATATTCCAGCCTAGATAGAACAAGTGACCTGAAGAGTGTATGGATGGTGCATTGAGGCATCTATGACAAAAAAAGTTAACCGTGGAGGCATAATGCTATGTCCGTAATGCTATGCGTACAAGTGGCTCTGGCATGCTGCTCTTACCGGTATTTTTTTGTACCTCTGTATGTTCAAATTATTAAATAAATAAATAGTGGTACCAACACTTACATGGGTGGGAAGTATGGGTTGTGAATTTTGCAGCAAGGAGGCTGGAGACAGTTGAGATGCCTTGTCTTAGGGCAATGTTTATTATTATTATCACACTGGCCGATTCCCACCAAGGCAGGGTGGCCCGAAAAAGAAAAACTTTCACCATCATTCACTCCATCACTGTCTTGCCAGAAGGGTGCTTTACACTACAGTTTTTAAACTGCAACATTAACACCCCTCCTTCAGAGTGCAGGCACTGTACTTCCCATCTCCAGGACTCAAGTCCGGCCTGCCGGTTTCCCTGAATCCCTTCATAAATGTTACTTTGCTCACACTCCAACAGCACGTCAAGTATTAAAAACCATTTGTCTCCATTCACTCCTATCAAACACGCTCACACATGCCTGCTGGAAGTCCAAGCATCTCGCACACAAAACCTCCTTTACCCCCTCCCTCCAACCTTTCCTAGGCCGACCCCTACCCTGCCTTCCTTCCACTACAGACTGAGACACTCTTGAAGTCATTCTGTTTCGCTCCATTCTCTCTACATGTCCGAACCACCTCAACAACCCTTCCTCAGCCCTCTGGACAACGGTTTTGGTAATCCCGCACCTCCTAACTTCCAAACTACGAATTCTCTGCATTATATTCACACCACACATTGCCCTCAGACATGACATCTCCACTGCCTCCAGCCTTCTCGCTGCAACATTCATCACCCACGCTTCACACCCATATAAGAGCGTTGGTAAAACTATACTCTCATACATTCCCCTCTTTGCCTCCAAGGACAAAGTTCTTTGTCTCCACAGACTCCTAAGTGCACCACTCACTTTTTCCCTCATCAATTCTATGATTCACCTCATCTTTCATAGACCCATCCGCTGACACGTCCACTCCCAAATATCTGAATACGTTCACCTCCTCCATACTCTCTCCCTCCAATCTGATATCCAATCTTTCATCACCTAATCTTTTTGTTATCCTCATAACCTTACTCTTTCCTGTATTCACCTTTAATTTTCTTCTTTTGCACACCCTACCAAATTCATGAGGGCAATGTGTGGTATGAATATTATGCACCGAGAGAGAGAGATAGGTCACACGCCATCTGTTCCTCACTCATCAGCGTGGCATCATTTATGGGGAAACTATCGGAAACCATTATTAGAAACCACATCGTAAAATGTCTGGAAGATAATAACCACTTAACCAATAGTCAACAAGGGTTTTGCAGTGAAAAATCCTGCAGACAAACCTGCAGTAATACTTCAGCTATATTTACAAAATCTTGGAGAACAAAATTTCTGTTGATACTGTAAATCAATGCAGCATAACTAATAACTCGAACTGGTCATTTTGGCTGAACTGCACTAAAGTGTCAGATATTTCACATACAAAAACAATTATGTCCTCATAAGCAAAACACACTGCAGGTGTTACATTGCCTTTAGAAAAATTCCTCTTGACATGACTCAGTACAACCCCCCAACACGTGTGTGAATAACAAAATTACACAGTATTATACCTGACATCAAAACAAAGTAAAAAGTGTGCAAGCAATACTAATTAAAAACTTCTCAATTACCCCTTCCTATCAGCAATATACACATTAAGTACATGTAATAAAATATATTTAAGCAGTACCCCCCCCCCTTCACCCCAGATCATAACATTGTTCAGTGAACACAGAAACGAATAACCAACATAATTTAAACCTTGAATATAGTATCTTGTTGGCAAAAAATTTCCTCTTTAGTATAAGATGCATAAATTATGCCAATATGGCAAATGATATTTAGAAAAAAGAACATGAGATTGAACTTAGTATTATGACTATAACTAAAAACCATTTATATAATTATGAATGTCGTTATCTATGAGAATATTACACATGATATAGTCACGGACTCACATATTACATATACACATATGTACAAAAGTTGATACGTAATATCACATGACTTACAAAAATTTATATTCACAGGAATTATATCAGTGTCATACATGCCCATTAACTTACATAAGATTATAAAAATACCGAATCAATTTATTAAGCCTCCTCGCATCCCCATGCCCAATATACACATTAATTAAGCACATTCAATAACAAATATTTTTGGGTAGTTCAACTACCCCCCCCCCCGCATTTACCTCAGATCATCATATTGAACAACGTCATACCATTGTTCATTGAACAATGGTATGACATAGTATCTTGATAAAAAAAAAAATCTTTCCAATAGTGTAATATGCATACTATTATGCTTACATTACAATTTGACATTAAGAAAATTAACACATGTTTGAACTTATTATTATGACCCAAAAAAGTCAATGTGACTAACTTCCATACATATATTTTAAACTGATAATAGTGAAAATGAAGATAATGTTTAAGGACGTTTGTTATTATCGATACCCAGTCTGAGACCAGACTTTGTGGTGGGTCAGGACCTGATCAACCAGGCTGTTACTGCTGGCCGCACGCAAACCGACATACAAACCACAGCCCGACTGGTCAGGCACTGACTTTAGGTACCTGTCCAGCGCCTTCTTGAAGACAGGCAGCATAATAACCGTGAGAAATAATTTGTCCTTTATTATAAATACTTTAATTTATTAATTCACAGTAATGTGCGTATTACAGTATTATGATCCTCTTTGAAAGGCATACAGGATATATAATTCGAACCTGTCCTTTGTTGGAATTGGATTCTTGTTGTCTTTGTGGATTCATTAACAATTCAGAATCGGCATTTGTTTTGGTCCTGAATTTTAATTACTTGCTAGTATTCCACAAACCTAATTATCAAATCAACTAAACGTAAAATATAAATATAAATCAACCCGGAAATCTTGAGTCACATGTTGTTAAAAGGAAAATGAATGTCCTAAACCTGTCCGAATAAGGAATTGGTACCGGGTTCGGAATATTGTAATTGACTGTGATTTATCATTTATCTGACGTATAATTTTAATTTTCAGGCCTTTTTGTCCTTCATAATTCAACATTATTTTGTTAATAGGGAAGCAGTATGTGTTAGAATGAGAGAAATTTATTCATGTGCCTGTAATTCAAGAACCCCAATGGAATTAAATCACTTTGACTTTTTGAGGTTATTGTAGGTAATCTACATATATGCTGCTATGTACGATGATTTATATAACAGTATTTATGTGTACCTGTACATGAATAAATATACAAATTCCCCTGAAATCAGAGTTGTCAGGTGGGTTCGTTAACTGGCCCTGAGAAGCGACTTCCCATGTGAACGAGGCCGACAGTGTTGCTGCCTTAGACACAGTTTGTGACACTTGCAGTGGTTCTGCGCACCACCAGGTACTAATACTCTCTCGAGGTTCTTTATAACACCAGGTAGTAACACAGGCCCCCCTGAGGTTCTTTATAATATTAGGTAGTAACACACACTGCCTGAAGCTCTCAATTACGCTAGGTAGTAACACCGCTTGAGGTTCTCAGCAGCCAAGGTTCTATACAACACCAGGTAGTAACACACTCCCCGAGGTTCTTTACAACACCAGGTAGTGACACACTCTCCCCAAGGTTCTATACAACACCAGGTAGTAACACACTCTCCAAGGTTCTTTACAACACCAGGTAGTAACACTCTCCCCGAGGTTCTATACAACACCAGGTAGTAACACACTCCCCAAGGTTCTTTACAACACCAGGTAGTAACACTCTCCCCGAGGTTCTATACAACACCAGGTAGTAACACACTCTCCAAGGTTCTATACAACACCAGGTAGTAACACACTCTCCAAGGTTCTTTACAACACCAGGTAGTAACACACTCTCCAAGGTTCTTTACAACACCAGGTAGTAACACACTCTCCAAGGTTCTATACAACACCAGGTAGTAACACACTCTCCAAGGTTCTTTACAACACCAGGTAGTAACACACTCTCCAAGGTTCTATACAACACCAGGTAGTAACACACTCTCCAAGGTTCTATACAACACCAGGTAGTAACACCTCTCCAAGGTTCTTTACAACACCAGGTAGTAACACACTCTCCAAGGTTCTATACAACACCAGGTAGTAACACACTCTCCAAGGTTCTTTACAACACCAGGTAGTAACACACTCTCCAAGGTTCTATACAACACAGGTAGTAACACACTCTCCAAGGTTCTTTACAACACCAGGTAGTAACACACTCTCCAAGGTTCTATACAACACCAGGTAGTAACACACTCTCCAAGGTTCTTTACAACACCAGGTAGTAACACACTCTCCAAGGTTCTATACAACACCAGGTAGTAACACACTCTCCAAGGTTCTATACACACCAGGTAGTAACACACCTCCAAGGTTCTATTACAACACCAGGTAGTAACACACTCTCCAAGGTTCTTTACAACACCAGGTAGTAACACACTCTCCAAGGTTCTATACAACACCAGGTAGTAACACACTCTCCAAGGTTCTTTACAACACCAGGTAGTAACACTCTCCCCGAGGTTCTATACAACACCAGGTAGTAACACTCTCCCCAAGGTTCTATACAACACCAGGTAGTAACACACTCTCCAAGGTTCTCTGCAACACCAGGTAGTAACACTCTCCCCGAGGTTCTATACAACACCAGGTAGTAACACACTCCCCAAGGTTCTATACAACACCAGGTAGTAACACACTCTCCAAGGTTCTTTACAACACCAGGTAGTAACACTCTCCCCGAGGTTCTATACAACACCAGGTAGTAACACTCTCCCCAAGGTTCTTTACAACATCAGGTAGTAACACACTCCCCAAGGTTCTTTACAACACCATGTAGTAATACACTCCCCAAGGTTCTTCACAACACCAGGCAGTAACACACTCCCCAAGGTTCTTTACAACACCATGTAGTAACACACTCCCCAAGGTTCTTTACAACACCAGGCAGTAACACACTCCCCAAGGTTCTTTACAACATCAGGTAGTAACACACTCCCCAAGGTTCTTTACAACACCAGGTAGTAACACACTCCCCAAGGTTCTTTACAACACCAGGCAGTAACACTCTCCCCAAGGTTCTTTACAACATCAGGTAGTAACACACTCCCCAAGGTTCTTTACAACATCAGGTAGTAACACACACTCCCCAAGGTTCTTTACAACACCAGGTAGTAACACACACTCCCCAAGGTTCTTTACAACATCAGGTAGTAACACACTCCCCAAGGTTCTTTACAACACCAGGTAGTAACACTCTCCCCAAGGTTCTTTACAACATCAGGTAGTAACACACTCCCCAAGGTTCTTTACAACACCAGGTAGTAACACACTCCCCAAGGTTCTTTACAACACCAGGCAGTAACACACTCCCCAAGGTTCTTTACAACATCAGGTAGTAACACACTCCCCAAGGTTCTTTACAACATCAGGTAGTAACACACACTCCCCAAGGTTCTTTACAACACCAGGTAGTAACACACACTCCCCAAGGTTCTTTACAACATCAGGTAGTAACACACTCCCCAAGGTTCTTTACAACACCAGGTAGTAACACTCTCCCCAAGGTTCTTTACAACATCAGGTAGTAACACTCTCTCCAAGGTTCTTTACAACTCCAGGTAGTAACACACACTCCCCAAGGTTCTTCACAACACCAGGCAGTAACACACTCCCCAAGGTTCTTTACAACATCAGGTAGTAACACACACTCCCCAAGGTTCTTTACAACACCAGGTAGTAACACACACTCCCCAAGGTTCTTTACAACATCAGGTAGTAACACTCTCCCCAAGGTTCTTTACAACACAGGTAGTAACAATTCTCCCAAGGTTCTTACACATCAGGTAGTAACACTCTCCCCAAGGTTCTTTACAACTCCAGGTAGTAACACTCTCCCCAAGGTTCTTTACAACACCAGGTAGTAACACACTCCCCAAGGTTCTTTACAACATCAGGTAGTAACACTCTCCCCAAGGTTCTTTACAACTCCAGGTAGTAACACTCTCCCCAAGGTTCTTTACAACACCAGGTAGTAACACACTCCCCAAGGTTCTATACAACACCAGGTAGTAACACTCTTCCCAAGGTTCTTTACAACACCAGGTAGTAACACACTCCCCAAGGTTCTTTACAACACCAGGTAGTAACACACTCCCCGAGATTCTTTACAACACCGGGTAGTAACACACTCATCATATGTACTGTATTGCCTATAGCCAGTAAGTTGACACAGACGACATTTTAAATTACTTAACCTAGGATATCAGAATTCCCTAAAAGGATTTAATTCCATTGGGTCCTCCACAGCACTGGGTTGTGACACCTGCCAAGGTCCTCCACAGCATCAGATTGTGACACCTGCCAAGGTCCTCCACAGCATCGGGTTGTGACATTTGCCAAGGTCCTCTGCAGTGCCAGGTTGTGACGCTTGCCAAGGTCCTCCGCAGTGCTGGGTTGTGACACTTGTCAAGGTTCTCCACAGCGTCGAGTTGTGACACTTGTCAAGGTCCTTCATAGTGCCGGGTTGTGACACTTGTCAAGGTCCTTCATAGCGCCGGGTTGTGACACTTGTCAAGGTCCTCCACAGTGCCGGGTTGTGACACTTGCCAAGGTCCTTCACAGCATTGTGACACTTGCTGAAGTTCTCCATAGTACTTCGGTGTGGCAATCATCATAGTCTTCCACAGTCTACTGCTGGTGGAGGTCACATGAAAATGGGACTAAGCAATGTGCTGGTGCTGTCTCAGGTGACGACCTACATCCTAACCTTGCTGCTTGCCCTCTGCATCATAATACCCATCTTCTTCCACCTTCATGATTTCAGGTGAGTGCATCACACACGAGTCGGTAATAAATTTATTGTTATTATTATTGGATGTGGTAACTGGTGCAGAAGAAGATTATGCACTGAAATGCACATGCTAGTGTTTTTTCTTTTGTGCCTAACAATGTTTTCTTATGTAAACTTCATTACCTGTATACTGCAGAAAAGAAATAAATTATTTTTATTTGTATCAACTGGGGTTTAGCTACTCAGGATAACTCGGTAAAGTCAGGGTGTCAATGACGACTGTACAGTGGACCCCCTCTTAACAATCACCTCCCAATGCGACCAATTATGTAAGTGTATTTATGTAAGTGCATTTGTACGTGTATGTTTGGGGGTCTGAAATGGACTAATCTACTTCACAATATTCCTTATGGGAACAAATAAAAAATTTGGTCAGTACTGGCACCTGAACATACTTCTGGAATGAAAAAATATCGTTGACCGGGGGTCCACTGTATATTATTTTCATTGGGCTCTTTAATCCTCTCCCCCAGGATGCAACCTGCACTAGTTGCTAAACACCCAGGTACCTACTTACTGCTAGGTGAGCATGGGCAGGTATAAGGAAATATGCCAAATGCTTCCACTGTTACTACAGTACTGAGAAAATAACATTGCCTAACCAAACTAGCCAGTCCTAGCATACATACTTTAACTTAGCCTAAATGCAGTCACTCTGAAAACACCACATTGCAGAAAATTGTGCTTAAGCAGCTTTTTTTTATAAATGACAAAGTTGATGAAGTTAGGTTAGGTCAAGTCAAGTACAGCTGTACAAGCAGAGAGATTCCTTCTACTTTTCACTAACAGCTGTGACACTAGAAACAGCCACTACTACCATACCTCGTTTGGCTAACAACCAAAAGAACCTGGGCAAATCTAACACCTGTTGCTCCTATTACCTAGCAGTATGAGTTACCTGGCTGTTATGGGTTGCATCCTGTTGGAGACATAACAAAATGGAAATAAGTCACACTGCTCTGCATTCTTGGGCTATCCTTGATTATTAACCCTTTGGGGGTTATTAATCCATTTAGTGATGGTCTCTATACTCTACTGATGTGTACAGTAGATGTGTGTTATCCTCTGCTGTGCAGTACTAATAATAAAGTCTTCTCAAGTTTAGCACTTTTTTTGACTTATTATCTACTCATTTTTAAATTAATCCAGAGACTATTTCTTTTCAGGATTGATATAATGCTGGGTCTTATTGCATGATTATCTGATGGAGAAGACATATGAAACAATAAAATGAAATTCTTCCCCAAGTGCCTTGGTAAGACAAGATGTTCAGCTTAGGCAGATGCTATTAAAGATCTCAATGGAAATAAGTCAATGACTTTTGGGTTATCCGGGTTATCCTAGGTAATTTACAATATGTATGATAATTGTACTTGGGTGTACCTGTACCTAAATAAACTTATTTAATCTAAAGGTTTATTGTGTAGTGACAGCTATAGTTGTGTGTCCAGGCATTTGGTGCAGAAATTGCAGAAATCACATAATCAGAGACAAACTCCTTAGCTGAAACTGTAGATCCCTTTGGGACTGCACTTATGACACTTTTTTTTTTTTTTTTAAATAGCATCAGTACAAGAATATATAAGTCAATTTTGGCAGTCAAACTATGGGCATAATCACAGTTGTCATGAAAATGTCATGAATGTGCAATATTTCCCTAGTTCCATACTTGTCTTTCAGTTAAAGCAGCAGCATTATTCAAAGCACATTGACGATACAGTAAAGAACATGTAGTTCTGACTAGTGACAACATGGTCAGAGTGTTATAATTTTATAATATAGATAACATCTCTCTCAGCAGAAGAATTCATGCATATTCAGAAAATAGTGTCTGGTTTAGTGATCATCTTGACAGTTCTTTTTAGAAATTTTTATTAAATTATATTCAAGATCACTTTTATTGAATTGCATATTGCCAGGTGTTGCTACAGTTGACTGAAGTAAGATATGTATTGCTTTTATTACTTATGATATTCTGTCTACACTTTGTATTAAAATAGAAGTTATTCATCCTTCACAGAGCAACGAGGACAGTACAGTGCAGGCAGTCACCCTGTAACTGCATGCATAATATTTTATGTAGAGTCCATATTTCATGCAGTATTTTGGGAAAATTTTAGACCAACAGTTTGTAAAGTAAAAGGACACAAGTGCAACTAATGTGACATTTTGTTGTGGCAACGTTTTGCTCTCCAGGAGCTTTGTCAAGCCGTTACAAACAGTACATGGACACAGAGGGTATAGTAGTAGTAATACAACTTGTGTCACTGCTACTACGACTACCACTAGTATTGCACCTCACTCTGAGCCTATATATACCCTCTGTGTCCATGTACTGTTAGTAACGGTTTGACAAAGCTCCTGGAGAGCGAAATGTTGCCACAATAAAATGTCACATTAGTTGCACTTGTGTCCTTTTACTTTACATATTGTCGGTAATTCTACCAACAATTATTTAAATGGGCTAGTTTAATTGTAGTAAAGACTTATTGGTAATATAAGTAGGGAATCCTTCCCCCGTAAGTCGTGTGTTATAAAAGCAGACCAAAATGTCAGGAGCAAGGCACTTGTAACCTCTTCTGTATAAATTTCTAAATGTAAAAAGAAAAAAAAATTGTAGTTTTCTTCTTTTTCAGGTCACCCTGCCTTGGTAGGAGGTGGCCAGTATGTTAAAAAAAAAAAATTAGGGATGACTCTACAAGACTTGGAACTGAAGAATACACATATTTTTATTTAGTTGCAGTAGTAATACACATAATAACACCCTAGAATGGGGTTCATAAAATGTTGATGGCAATTTTGTCAACATAGTTAATAATAATTTATTTATTTATTTATTTATTTATTTTTTCAACAAAATGGCCTTATCCCACCAAGGCAGGGTGGCCAAAAAGAAAAACGAAAGTTTCTCTTTTTAAATTTAGTAATTTATACAGGAGAAGGGGTTACTAACCCCTTGCTCCCGGCATTTTAGTTGCCTCTTACAACACCCATGGCTTACGGTGGAAGAATTCTGTTCCACTTCCCCATGGAGATAAGAGGAAATAAACAAGAACAAGAACTAGAAAGAAAATAGAAGAAAACCCAAAGAGGTGTGTACATATATGCTTGTACATGTATGTGTAGTGTGACCTAAGTGTAAGTAGAAGTAGCAAGACGTACCTGAAATCTTGCACGGTTTTGAGACAGACAAAAGACATCAGCAATCCTACCATTATGTAAAACAATTACATTCTTTCGTTTTACACTCACTTAGCAGGACGGTAGTACCTCTCTGGGCGGTTGCTGTTTACCAACCTACTACCTAGAAGTTAATAATAATGTGTACACTTAATACAGCCTTTCCTCACTTAATGATGGAGTTTTGTTTCTAAGACCACGTTGGTAAACGAATTCTTTGCTAAGTGAAGAGCATACTATAATGGTAGTGAGTTTGTGTCAATCATCTTTGATATTGTTTTAATATCACCTTTGCACCATTTATAACATTTCTGGTATATTTTTAAATGTTATACAGTAGTGTACTGTATATTGTAATAAACAGAATAGAGGAAATCAGCTCTAATATACATTATTTAGGTATGCATACTGGTCAGTGAGCCTGTCATAAGTCCGAGTCGTCAGTAAACGAGTACGTCGCAAGTGAAGAGAGGCTGTAATGGCAAATGTAGATCACAGTATATCAGTAATTGTAGTTCTACTGATGAACTTTAATTTTGACATACACAAATAACCTACATATAAAATAATGAAACTTATGACATTTTTGGTCTAACTTGGGTTGAAGTGATACTATATACACTGTACATATGTATGGTCCAAGTTGGACTGAAATGTCATAAGTTTCACTTCGTGTGGGTTATTTGTGTATCATTCCAGACACGGTATTGTGCAATTTTATTCTTTAATTTTAACATGTTATTCTTATATGCACATTTACATTACAGGGGCCACTGCTTGTTGTTTAGTAATGGAACATGGCGTGAGACAGATGGTCAGTTTGCTGTGTCTTGGGCATCACAAGGCTTTTGTGATTATAATCTCACCTGGGCCTCGATCTCTCTCCTAATTGCCATCGTCCAGATCTACAGGTTTATAGTGCAGATTTGCCGTGGAACTGAGAGGTAAGAATTAAGGGTTGTCATTATATGTTGCAGTTTTTGAGCTGTTGTATCGGCACGCCTCTGGAAAGACAGCGATGGAATGAGTTATGATAGAAATGTTTCTTCCTTCTTGGGCCACCCTACCTTGGTGGGAAATGGCCAATGTATTAAAAAAATTGTTACATTAAAGCACTAAGAGTAAACTAGAAAAATTGTGGAATGTAATTATTTTTTTTTCCATTTTACTTTTGCTACTTCATTGCAGCAAGAGTAAACAGGAAGAGTACTATTGTTCACATTTTATTTGGTTGGTGTGAATTAACACCTGTTCTTAGATAACATTTTAAATAGTGAGTATAATTAAAGTAGTAGTAATTGCTAGGTTATCTGATTGAAATGAGAATAAGAGTCATCAAAATTCCAGTTAAAATTATAATTTTTTTGAGTTAGAATGCAGCACTGTATGACCCTTATGGGTTTAGCACTTAGTTTTAATTGTAATAATAATAATAATTAATTTGAGTTAGAATGTTAATTAAAGCACAGGTTATGTTTCTTGAAAATTAATATGTAATCAGATTTAATGCTAATCTGAAGAGCATATGGGAAAAATAGTTATGTTGCAATGGCTTCAGCTTCATTTGATGGCCTGCCTCATGTAATCCAATGATCTGTGCACTTGTCTCTTGTGTCAGAGACTTATCCTTGCCCATATTAATTCACCTGTGGCCAAAAATATCTGACAAACTCTATACTCATGACCACATGGCACAGGGAGACCACAGACTCATATCCATCCATCACATAAGCCCAGAAGGCATTGAGTATATAGCAAATAGTCTAGCAAAATCCTGAGACATTTAGCAATGAGTTGACAGGCCCACATTAATTTCTGTCGCTCCAGAGCACCAAACAGGGTTGGGTATTACTTTCGACATTAAAATATGCTGTGTGGATACCGTATATTTCTTTTTTTTAACATGCTGGCTGTCTTCCACTGAGACAGGTTGACCCCCAAAAAAACACTTTCACCATGATTCACACTCGCCTTCTTGCCAGAGGTGCATGAATATGATGGTTCAGATGATCTCCAAACAGTAAATATCCCCAGCTTTCCTTTAGAGTTCAGGCACTGTACTCCCCACTTCCAGGACTCAAGTCCGGCTACCTGTTTTCCCTGAATCCCTTCACAAAATGCTACACTGCTCACACTGTATATATCTGTATATGGTTTAGAAAGACACGTAAGCAAACACTATGACATATTTATTAGAAAACGTTTCGGTCCTGGGACCTTTTTTTCATAATCTTGGAGTCAGCCCAAAGAAAATGCCCAAAATGTAAAAAAAAAAAAAAATTGCCTATACAGTACTGTATAAACATGTAAATGTACTACCATAGTAAATTTGATCACAACTTTAATACAAGCTTTCACTATACTGTAACTTTATTTCTTGCATTACATTTTTTAAACCGCATTCATAAAACCTTCACTCACTAATCCAATTTAGGCTTGTATATTTTCTTTGCTTGGCAGCCTTCTTTGATATTTCTAGGCAGGTATAATATGCACAGTTGATGCATCATTCTTGTAGTCTATCCTAATATTCTTAAGATACCTTCTGCATATGCATTAATATACATACTGTAGTATCTACTTATTTCCTAACATTATTATGATTATGAACTTCTTACTTTTTTTTCTAATGAAATTTTTCTCTGTCCTGTCTAGACAACTCATTTGCATTTTAAAACTTCAACTTGTAATGCTTTGGAGAATGTCAGTTTTTAACTGACATTCTCCAAATCGGGTTTTCTTTGTTGTAAGTTAGGTTCAGTTAATTTAGATTAAGTTATGTTAGGATACATAAACTTATAAAAATGTACATTTAACCATAAGAAAATTAGTTACAGACTGCAATACATCTGACAGTGAAGTGGCCAAGGAGAAAATAGAAATGTTCAAATTTAAATGTTTACCTTCTAGTAGAACAGACTGGTCTTGGGCATATGCTGGAAAATTACATAAAAGTGCACACAAAAAAGTAGACCATAACTAAGTACAGTAACAATGTCTGTCACACAGTGATGATACTTTTCTGAAGTTGGAATGCTTTTTGACAATTTTTGGATCTGTTAGTGAATTTGAGCACTTGAAGTTAAGTGAAGAGAGGAAGTTTAGAATAGTTTGCAAAACTTTCTAAACTTGAATTTAGCCTAGTTTAACCTAAGTGGTATGTAATTTATGAATGTATTGATAATCTTTTTTGGCTTGCCCTACCTTGGTGGGAGACAGCCTGTATGTTAATTAAAAAAAAGTTATAATTTTTGTTTTTCTTACAGCACGTTTTTGAGTGCATTCTTTGATGTGGTGGTGAGTCTTATCATGTCTACAGCAGCCCTGGCAGGTGCCCTTATTATCACTATTGGGTATCAGATCTGGTGCAATGCTATCATGATGCGTTTTGAGGCGTAAGTTTTCCATTGCATTTTCTCTGCTGTAGTTCAGCTGCCAACATTATAATAAAAATCTCTATTTCTACAAACACATGATGCAACTTATACAGACGTAGCTGACATCAGTGATATACTATATAGAAAGCCCCTGGTTATGCAGAGCATTTTGGGCAACTTAAGTTAATCTTGTCCCCCAGGATGCTACCCATACCAGTTGGCTAGATGAACAAGGGCAGCAGGTGTAAGGAAACATGCCCAATGTCTCTACCTGTACCGGGGATCAAACCACTGCAGGGTGTTCAAAAAAAAAAATTATAAAAATTTGCTTTACTTTCTCATGTAATTGCAAGAATATTTTTCACCATTATTTTCAAATATTAAATTAGGAGTCCAAGTTTTGAAGTCATCAGGGAGGAATTTGAACAGAAGCTCAGCACCACAAGTTTCCTAGCAATTGCAGCACTGTACAGTGGACCCCCGGTTAACGATATTTTTTCATTCCAGAAGTATGTTCAGGTGCCAATACTGACCGAATTTGTTCCCATAAGGAATATTGTGAATAGATTAGTCCATTTCAAACCCCCAAACATACACGTACAAACGCACTTACATAAATACACATACATAATTGGTCACATTGGGAGGTGATCGTTAAGCGGGAGTCAACTGTACATGCAAGAAGGAAAGCTAAAGAAAGGAATAGGGATAGATATAGAAAATGTGTTTTAGGACTAGGAAATGTTTTATGAACTTGAAAAATGTCTTTACTATCAATTCCTAGCAGCCCTTTCTTCCTTGCTTATCTAAGCAAGTGTCTTCACTTGGACTTCCTAGTATTCTTCCCTTGCTGAAATGTGGCAGTAACATAGTGATATTTTGCTAGCAATGCTACATATGTTTATCTTCTCACTTGTCTGCCTACAAAAAAGACCCTCTTGTATATATGTAATTAATTAAAAACTCGTGAAGGGTTTGTTTTCCATAAATAGACTTTTTAATGAATGTCACCTCTATTTGTTCTTTCTTTCAACACACTGGCCGTATCCCACTGAGGTGGGGTGGCCCAAAAGGAAAAATGAAAGTTTCTCCTTTTACATTTAGTACTATATACTGGCCCCTTGCTCCCGGCATTTTAGTAGCCTCTTACAACACGCATGGCTTACGGAGGAAGAATTCTGTTTCACTTCCCCATGGAGGTAAAAGGAAATAAACAAGAACAAGAACTAGAAAGAAAATAGAAGAAAACCCAGAGGGGTGTGTGTATATATATGCTTGTACATGTATGTGTAGTGTGACCAAAGTGCAAGTAGAAGTAGCAAGACGTACCTGAAATCTTACATGTTTGAGACAGACAAAAGGCACCAGCAATCCTACCATCATGTAAAACAATTACAGGCTTTCGTTGTACACTCGCTTGGCAGGACGGTAGTACCTCCCTGGGTGGTTGCTATCTACCAACCTACTAACTATAACCTCTATTTGTTGTTTATTTAATATTTGTTTATGAGCATGACAGGCAGGGAAATAATTTTCTACAAAAGCTTAATTCCTAGAGTTATTTTTTCTGATATCCTGAGATAGTGGACAAGGGTTATTGGTGGCCAGGGAGATCAAGGAGGAGTTATTTGATGGCACTGGTTGAGGGAGACTACTCAGTGGCTCGTCAACCAAATTTAACTGTTGTAGTTTATTTATCTATACATCATTGTGTACATCTGTATGTGATATAACTTTTGTATACTAAACACACAATTATTTCCATATTTCACCATAAGTAGTAGGTTGGTAGACAGCAACCACCCAGGGAAGTACTACCGTCCTGCCAGATGACTGTGAAACAGAAACCTGTAACTGTTTTGCATGATGGTAGGATTGCTGGTTTCTTTTTCTGTCTCATAAACACGCTAGATAACAGGGATATCTTGCTACTCCTACTTACACTTTGGTCACACTTCACAGACACGCACATGCATATACAGTGGACCCCCGGTTAACGAACTTTTTTCATTCCAGTAGTATGTTCAGGTGCCAGTACTGACCGAATTTTTTCCCATAAGGAATATTGTGAAGTAGATTAGTCCATTTCAGACCCCCAAACATACACGTACAAACGCACTTACATAAATACACTTACATAATTGGTCGCATTTGGAGGTGATCATTAAGCGGGGGTCCACTGTATATATACATACATCTAGGTTTTTCTCCTCTTTCTAAATAGCTCTTGTTCTTCTTTATTTCTTCTATTGTCCATGGGAAAGTGGAAAAGAATCTTTCCTCCGTAAGCCATGCGTGCCGTATGAGGCGACTAAAATCCCGGGAGCAATGGGCTAGTAACCCCTTCTCCTGTAGACATTTACTAAAAAAGAGAAGAAGAAAAACTTTATAAAACTGGGATGCTTGAATGTGCGTGGATGTCGTGCGGATGACAAGAAACAGATGATTGCTGATGTTATGAATGAAAAGAAGTTGGATGTCCTGGCCCTAAGCGAAACAAAGCTGAAAGAGGTAGGGGAGTTTCGGTGGGGGGAAATAAATGGGATTAAATCTGGAGTATCAGAGAGAGTTAGAGCAAAGGAAGGGGTAGCGGTAATGTTGAAGGATCAGTTATGGAAGGAAAAAATAGAATATGAATGTGTAAATTCAAGAATTATGTGGATTAAAATAAACGTTGGATGCGAAAAGTGGGTCATAATAAGCGTGTATGCACCTGGAGAAGAGAGGAATATAGAGGAGAGAGAGAGATTTTGGGAGATATTAAGTGAATGTATAGGAGCCTTTGAACCAAGTGAGAGAGTAATTGTGGTAGGGGATCTGAATGCTAAAGTAGGAGAAACTTTTAGAGAGGGTGTGGTAGGTAAGTTTGGGGTGCCAGGTGTAAATGATAATGGGAGCCCTTTGATTGAACTTTGTATAGAAAGGGGTTTAGTTATAGGTAATACATATTTTAAGAAAAAGAGGATAAATAAGTATACAAGATATGATGTAGGGCGAAATGACAGTAGTTTGTTGGATTATGTATTGGTAGATAAAAGACTGTTGAGTAGACTTCAGGATGTACATGTTTATAGAGGGGCCACAGATATATCAGATCACTTTTTAGTTGTAGCTACACTGAGAGTAAAAGGTAGATGGGATACAAGGAGAATAGAAGCATCAGGGAAGAGAGAGGTGAAGGTTTATAAACTAAAAGAGGAGGCAGTTAGGGTAAGATATAAACAGCTATTGGAGGATAGATGGGCTAATGACAGCATAGGAAATGGGGTCGAAAAGGTATGGGGTAGGTTTAAAAATGTAGTGTTAGAGTGTTCAGCAGAAGTTTGTGGTTACAGGAAAGTGGGTGCGGGAGAGAAGAGGAGCGATTGGTGGAATGATGATGTAAAGAGAGTAGTAAGGGAGAAAAAGTTAGCCTATGAGAAGTTTTTACAAAGTAGAAGTGATGCAAGGAGGGAAGATTATATGGAGAAAAAGAGAGAGGTTAAGAGAGTGGTGAAGCAATGTAAAAAGAGAGCAAATGAGAGAGTGGGTGAGATGTTATCAACAAATTTTGTTGAAAATAAGACAAAGTTTTGGAGTGAGATTAACAAGTTAAGGAAGCCTAGAGAACAAATGGATTTGTCAGTTAAAAATAGGAGAGGAGAGTTAGAGGTATTGGGAAGATGGAGGGAATATTTTGAGGAATTGTTAAATGTTGATGAAGATAGGGAAGCTGTGATTTCGTGTATAGGGCAAGGAGGAATAACATCTTGTAGGAGTGAGGAAGAGCCAGTTGTGAGTGTGGGGGAAGTTCGTGAGGCAGTAGGTAAAATGAAAGGGGGTAAGGCAGCCGGGATTGATGGGATAAAGATAGAAATGTTAAAAGCAGGTAGGGATATAGTTTTGGAGTGGTTGGTGCAATTATTTAATAAATGTATGGAAGAGGGTAAGGTACCTAGGGATTGGCAGAGAGCATGCATAGTTCCTTTGTATAAAGGCAAAGGGGACAAAAGAGAGTGCAAAAATTATAGGGGGATAAGTCTGTTGAGTATACCTGGTAAAGTGTATGGTAAAGTTATTATTGAAAGAATTAAGAGTAAGACGGAGAATAGGATAGCAGATGAACAAGGAGGCTTTAGGAAAGGTAGGGAGTGTGTGGACCAGGTGTTTACAGTGAAACATATAAGTGAACAGTATTTAGATAAGGCTAAAGAGGTCTTTGTGGCATTTATGGATTTGGAAAAGGCGTATGACAGGGTGGATAGGGGGGCAATGTGGCAGATGTTGCAGGTGTATGGTGTAGGAGGTAGGTTACTGAAAGCAGTGAAGAGTTTTTACGAGGATAGTGAGGCTCAAGTTAGAGTATGTAGGAAAGAGGGAGATTATTTCCCAGTAAAAGTAGGCCTTAGACAAGGATGTGTGATGTCACCGTGGTTGTTTAATATACAGTGGACCCCCGGTTAACGATATTTTTTCACTCCAGAAGTATGTTCAGGTGCCAGTACTGACCGAATTTGTTCCCATAAGAAATATTGTGAAGTAGATTAGTCCATTTCAGACCCCCAAACATACACGTACAAACGCACTTACATAAATACACTTACATAATTGGTCGCATTCGGAGGTAATCGTTATGCGGGGGTCCACTGTATTTATAGATGGGGTTGTAAGAGAAGTAAATGCGAGGGTCTTGGCAAGAGGCGTGGAGTTAAAAGATGAAGAATCACACATAAAGTGGGAGTTGTCACAGTTGCTCTTTGCTGATGACACTGTGCTCTTGGGAGATTCTGAAGAGAAGTTGCAGAGATTGGTGGATGAATTTCGTAGGGCGTGCAAAAGAAGAAAATTAAAAGTGAATACAGGAAAGAGTAAGGTTATGAGGATAACAAAAAGATTAGGTGATGAAAGATTGGATATCAGATTGGAGGGAGAGAGTATGGAGGAGGTGAATGTATTCAGATATTTGGGAGTGGACGTGTCAGCGGATGGGTCTATGAAAGATGAGGTGAATCATAGAATTGATGAGGGGAAAAGGGTGAGTGGTGCACTTAGGAGTCTGTGGAGACAAAGAACTTTGTCCTTGGAGGCAAAGAGGGGAATGTATGAGAGTATAGTTTTACCAACGCTCTTATATGGGTGTGAAGCATGGGTGATGAATGTTGCAGCAAGGAGAAGGCTGGAGGCAGTGGAGATGTCATGTCTGAGGGCAATGTGTGGTGTGAATATAATGCAGAGAATTCGTAGTTTGGAAGTTAGGAGGAGGTGCGGGATTACCAAAACTGTTGTCCAGAGGGCTGAGGAAGGGTTGTTGAGGTGGTTCGGACATGTAGAGAGAATGGAGTGAAACAGAGTGACTTCAAGAGTGTATCAGTCTGTAGTGGAAGGAAGGCGGGGTAGGGGTCAGCCTAGGAAAGGTTGGAGGGAGGGGGTAAAGGAGGTTTTGTGTGCGTGGGGCTTGGACTTCCAGCAGGCATGCGTGAGCGTGTTTGATAGGAGTGAATGGAGACAAATGGTTTTTAATACTTGATGTGCTGTTGGAGTGTGAGCAAAGTAACATTTATGAAGGGGTTCAGGGAAACCGGCAGGCCGGACTTGAGTCCTGGAGATGGGAAGTACAGTGTCTGCACTCTGAAGGAGGGGTGTTAATGTTGCAGTTTAAAAACTGTAGTGTAAAGCACCCTTCTGGCAAGACAGTGATGGAGTGAATGATGGTGAAAGTTTTTCTTTTTCGGGCCACCCTGCCTTGGTGGGAATCGGCCAGTGTGATAATAAAAAAAAAAATATTTCACCTTACTTGACACTAATAAAGTAGTACAGTAATTCTGAAACCAATATAATCTTTGAAATTATTATAGTGATGGGTTTGATTTGATATCCTTATTTATGTTTATGGTGACTGCTTTAGGCATTGAGATTGCTTGTGTTACAGGTGTGAAGATGCCACAAGCAATGACATTGATAAAGATGATGATATAGACACCAGAATGTTCTATACTCAATTTGGAACAGCACAGGTATGTCTTGTGTTATATTCCTAGAAAATATTGTATATTGGAAAACATATCAGTTGCATTTATTGTTTAATACAATGAGTGGAAGTTGAGGGTGCATATGCACAGAATGATTTGTCTGCTAATGATGCTTCTCTTCATAATTTTTCTAGCTTACACATATTCTTCATTGTCTAGCATTTCTTAAGTTACTCAAAATGTCTTACCACATGTCAAATGTGGTATTGATTTTTATTTTATCAGTACAGTAGTAATTTCCTTCTAATTTATAACAGCAGAGAACTAGATTAATCAGTTAGTTTTTGTTTACGTGTGTAAGACGTTATATCACCGAGTGTACCCAATGTTAATTTGTGTATGTGTCTTTACTTAATGCATATAGCTACCATTTATTACTGTTCAGTTTTATTTAAATAATCTCTCTAATTTTCATTGCTGTATTTTATCATTGACGTCTTGAAGTTGTCAGCAACTTTGTACAGCTGCAATTATTGATCTTTGAGATCTATTGGCATACCTTGCTTTAAGGTGCTTTGCTAATACAGCACTTTTATATTCTTATTTATTATTTTCAGCACTTGCCTTGCAATACAGTATACTATAGCATTTTTTATTTTTACTTGTGCATCTTTTTTAGGCCTAGTGCTATTGCACACTTAATAAATGATAGCATAAGCATGTTTTTAGGCTTTTATGTGATTCGCTTTAAGGCAATATTTGCTGTTTGGCGGTGGTCTGGAATCTAACCCGCTGTATTAGTGAGGTATGCTTGTAAATTTATCTACTATTGTAATATTCTAGAAGTCTAACTTTATGTAATCTACTTCCCTCAGTTTGGAGCTTGGACATCATGGGTCTGCTGGGTTGGATTGTCTATGTTCTCCATGCTGAAGCTGTGCAAGTATCACCAACAGGAGAACATACGGGTATCCATGGCTCGTGAGCGCGCCAGACTGGTGAGGGATCGACATTCTCCGCTGCAAGACTGACATTTATTTTTTTAAGCACACTTTTCTTGAAAAAACAGAGACTTATAAGTAAAATGTTCATGAAAACCATGTATTACCAGTATATTAAATTTTCATGGTGAAATTTACAATTTTCATGAAAAGAAAAGTGTGTAATGTAAAATGTTCATGAAAAGAACCATTTATGATGTAAAAAGATTGCTATTGAAAACCTTTATTTAGTGCATATTTATAGCATAATACCACTGTCACCCCTCATCCTGTATTTTTGTTGGGAAGCAGTATTTACATTGCAAATTTATTATGAATTTTATTTCTTATCATTTTAATGTGCTGTATATGACAGTGAAGGTTCTTATTTAGCAATCTTTATGTACGTTTGATTTTCTTTATATTACACTACTTGTTTTTGCTGGTGAAGTCTATTTTATTTTAAAATGACCATAGTGAAATGTGCTTTTGTATCAACGATGATGTGTTCCAATTACAGTTGTCTACTAATCTTGGTGGGCACATTTGTTCAGTATTTAAACTTAAAATCTAAATTCATATGAATTTTTCTAGGTTTTGAAGTACCCTTAATATACAGGATACTCTACAAAAGTAATTAACACAGGTGTCCCTTGCTTTGAAACAGTGGAAGTGTTCCTGGGCCATAGCAGCTAAACTAGGCTCCGTCAAGCCATTAGCACTGAATTCCACATAATAAGAATCATTAATATATTTATGAATCCTCATCAATTACATAGCACAATTTTATATATATATATAAATTATATACTATATAGAATATTTGGAATTATCAATAGAAATGAACCTTATAATAAAGAATTAGCTTCAGGCAAGGGGAATACCTGTATTTATATTAATTTCACTTTATGAATCATCTGAAACAGCGCTGTATGACCCCTGTGGGTTTAGCGTTTGGTTCTGATTGTAATAATAATGAATCGTCTAAAGTGGTTCATAATTTTGAGTGCGCAGATCTGTTCTCAACCTTCCATAGTTCACAGATTGCACTTGTGGGTTTGGCACTTCATATGAATACTGTATATTGATAATTTACCAATTGCCATAAGTTACTAAATAAATTAGTTATGGTAATGCATACTTTGCTACAATTGATATGCCAAATGAATTTTTAAACACGTTGGCTGTTGCTTTCCATCATGGCTCAGTGACCCTAAAGAAAGAAAACTAATTCACCATTACTCTGTCCCTAGCAGTTTCCAGAAGTATGTGTGTTCACCACAATCTAAATAATCCTTTGAATACCCCAGACATACTTCAAAGTGCAGGCACTCTACTAAGTATCTCACCTCCAGAACTGGAGTTTTAACTGACCTGCTCACATGAATTCCTCCATGGATATTATCTTGCTCATAATCCAACAGCACACCAAATCCCATTGCTTTGATTTTCCATGGCCTTTTGATGGCCTAACTTGTTTGATGATTCTCTGGGACTGCAGAGCACAATTTGAGAACAGTTGCTCTGGTATATTCTGAAAGTCTTCACAATATTCTGTGGAAAGTTATTTTTCTGCAGTTTTTAAGAAATGAGATTGACTAAATTGTGCTTTCATCTTTAAATATAGTTTTAAGCTTTTCGTGCAGTTGTGTGAGGATCACCAAATAAAATGTTTTGTGTGAGGTTTATGTGCTCTTCAAAAAAATATTCAGAAAATGCTGAAGGAAATTAAATATTTGCAAGAATAAGCAGCAATATATTTATCTCAGATTTAATGTGCTGTTAACTCTTGCTGCTTAGAATTCTATTCAGCATGAGTTGTCATTTTTCAGATAAGTGTTGAGTTGGTTAATTGAAAAAAGTAGAATGAAGAGGAACTATGGTTCACTTACAACATTTTAGGATGATTAATCCTAAATGTCTAACTGCAGGTTAGGTTTCAGACTACTGCAGTAAAATTAATATCACCTTAAAGCAAATCACAGCCTTTTTTTTTCACTTGCCAGTGCATATAAAAGCCTAAAAACATGTTACTTGCATCATGTATAAAGTGTGAGATAGCACTTGGTATAAAAAAGATGCAAAAGTAAAAATAATAAAAAAATGCTGCAGTACTATATTGCTAACTGTAAAATATTTTCGCCACCGAAAATAAGTAACATGAATATAATTGAAAGTGCCGTATTAGGGAGGTGCCATATTAGCGAGGTGTGCCTGTACTGTATAACAGAATAATAGCTTCGATACGGATTGTGGAGACTCCAGCTGTCTACCTTTCCCTTGTATAATAACTTATAAGTATAGTAATGGCTTAGTATGTTCATTGTTAATTTATGTTCGTGTGAGAAATATTGCATGTAACTGCCATGTTTGCCAGTGAAAACAAAATTAGTCACTAGAACAAAATGGGAACATTCTTCTCTACTGTATTTTGCATATCATAATCATTAATAAAAAATATGGAAAAAATGTACATGTAATGTAGTGAATGTAATGCGAACAAAGTGATTAAAATAGATATGTATTTATGGATAATGTTAAGTGTGTGTGTATAAGTTAGGATGTATGGCTGCTAGATATTATGATAAGTTAATACACCTACCATCCGACTTACGACTGAGTTCGGTTCCGAGAAACCGGTCGTAAGTCGAAATGGACGTAAGTCGAATTTTACTACTGAATATCAACATAACATTTTTGTAATGACTTTATTTTATTGTTTTATTTTGGTATTTCATGTTTTACTTTACTTTTATGTTGTTAGTACTGTATTTTATACTGTAAAGTTTAGGATAAACACTGTGTACAACACAAACACTTGTTTATTTCCCAGAAATTTGGCATAAAAAACACAGTCGTAAGTCGAGCAGGTCGTAAGTCAGATGGTAAGTGTGTATTAAAGTTTAATGCTGTGTGGTGGTGTGTTCAGTATTTGATGTTGACTTTAACATACTTTGAATACCTTGTAAATTTGCATGACAAACAAAGACTTTTAGCTCTTATTATATTCAGGTAAGAATTGTCCCAGACATGTACAGAACAATAAATGATTTGCATTTTGTACAGCTAAATTGATGATTACTGCATTTTCACTGTGCCCAATTTTTGTGTCTTTGCACACAAGCCCTAAATTGAAAACTAACCATAGAATTTTGTTTGCAATGTCCTCAGTGACTTTCTCTACATCCAGTTTTCTTTTTGTGGTTATAGTGTCTTATGAAATTCATTATTAATCAGATTACAAGGATAGAGGCTGAAACATAAAGAGCCTAAATCTGGAATGAAATTTATTAATACCTAATTTTGTATTAGTTACAGGTTCTACGTATGTGAGGCCTCTAGCAGTGTAATCCCCACAAATTACAATAATAATAATAATAATACATGTATATCTCTATTTACTACAAGAGGATTCAAATGTATAGTAGTATGGTTAAAATGTTTGAGATGTGTATGTGAGCCAATGCTTAAATACAGCACAATGCAATCATTATAGAACAAAATTTGATATATGCAGTAGAGTAATATGTTCATACTGTACTCTATATGTTGGATACATGTTTATCACGTTGTGGTGGCTGTATATAGCAGAGGCTTCAAACTTTTATGTTAATCTGTGTTTTGTAGTACACAGTAGTTCATGTTTCACAATTTATAGAAATATATAACAAAGGAAATTTAATAATTATATTTATATATTTTGTTTCTTTATTTTTGTAGTACATTATTAGCTGCTTGTTAAATAAAATAAAAATATGAAAATTATGGTATAGTGGATGGATTGCACTACAGGTATCCCTCACTTTGTGCAGTAGAAATATTCATTGCCTATGGCAGCTGTACTCAGCTGAGGCATTGGATATGTGTTTGAGACTTGTCTGATATCATTAGAGATATGCTTGAGGGGAATGTGTGGTGAGAGTATTAAGCAGAAAATTGGGAGTGTGCAGATTAGAAGACAGTGTAGGGTTACTAAAAATATAATTTGGAGGGCTGAGAAGGGTCATTGAAGTGGTTTGGGTGTTTAGATAGGATGGAGGAGAATACGATGTCTGGGAGGGAATATAAATTTGGGGTGGAAGGATAGGTAGAGGTTGTTACAAGAAGGGTTGCAGGGAGGGAGGATGATGATTTTGAGTGTTAGAGGCTTAGACATTAACAGGCTTATGTAGGACAGCTACAGTAGGACCCCCATATCTGTGGGGGATACGTCCCAAGGACACCGAAAGTGTTGATAGTAGCGAGTCCCTATATATAAGTCCTGCACATACCTATTATGAAGTTTAATCGATAAATTGTGCACAATAAGTGGAGAATTATCACTTTTTTCACTAATGGGAAGCACTTCACAGCTTCTTTGATTCTTTGAAGAACTTCCACTATCATTACTTTTACACTTAAAGGCTAGTAAGCAAAATTAAGGGCTATTTTTGGGCCACAGTAAGCAGCAGATAACTGAAACCATGGATACCGGACCTGTGGATGCGGGGGGTCCTACTGTATAGCAGTGTCAGTGAAAATAAGCGGTTTTTATGTCTCGACATGCTGTTGGAGTGTGAGCAAGGTAATATTTATGAAGGGATTTCGGGAAACCGAACTAGAGTCCTGGAGGTGGTAAGTACAGTGCCTGCACTCTAAAGGAGTGGTGAAGATGTTGCAATTTGGAGGGTCATCTGAACTGTAATGTCAGCATACTTCTGGTAAGAACATGGTTGAATAAATGATGAATAGATTTTTTTTATAATACATATAGACATCTAGTGTGAAAAAATAATCTTCAGTACGTTTTGGGACCTTATGAACTGCACTGATCATGTATGGCTAATGCATACCTCACACATGGAATTACTGATAGAAATGAGTACCGCAAAATAGTGAATTTACAAAGCGAGGAAAACCTGTACTTTAAACACTACTTAAAATATTTAAGTTCTGTTGATAATAAAATTTTGTGTAATTTGTTAAAATGTGGAATTGTTGGAATTCAGTATTTTTAAGGAATTCGGCCTATGCTCCAATTCCTTGAATAGTCTGAATGCCTTCCATTTCTCCAGGTGCTGTATGACCCCTATGGGTTTAGTGCTTCCCCCATGACTAATAATAAAAACTAGTATTAATGTGTAAGCTAGCGCCTCTGGATGGCAAATTTCTTGTTATTTACTATTCCTAATTGACATATGTGGACTAGCATCTATTCTTCCCTATGTACTTTTATTTTCTGTGTGGGTGATCCTTTAATTTAGGGGGTTCCTTGATGCCAGTGCATGACAGTGATATAAGGGATTGAAGCATCCCTCCCTTTAATTAAAACTGATAGCCTCTCATTCCTCAAGCACTGTATGAACCATGCAGGTTTAGTGCTTCTCCATGAGCATAATAACTATGTGGGTGATTTTGTCATTGCTTATGTTGGCACAGTCATCTGGGAGCTTTCTGCAGAATACTTTGACTATTTTTGGTTGAGGTACATTGCTTGTATAGCTTTAGTTCTCAGTATCCAAAGTGAGTTCTTGTACTTTCAGATAGCACCCTAACCATTCTCCATTCCATGTACAGCATTGTTGTTTTGTAGCTATCCAAACCTTTAAATTCTTTGGGCATTTTTGATTGTTGGGTCAGGAAACACTGTGACTTCATTCTACCCTCGTAGAATGAATTTATTAAATTTTTTTTTTCCTGAGGACGAACAGATTAATTGTGTTCAGTCTGTCTTATCTAAACCAAACTATGGAGACCAGGTATAGTAACCAGCTCAAGGAATTGTAATGACACAATTTCAAACAAACCATGGTACGGGTGGGGATTGAACTCGTGTCGAGTTGTAAAACTCTAGACTGATGTGTTAGCTACTGGGCCAGCTGGCTACAATAAGCCAGCTGGCCCAGTGACTAACACATTGGTCTGGAGTTTATGACTCACTCACCATGAGTTCAATCCCCGCCTGTACTGTTTTTTTTTTATTTTTCAAGTATAGTACATTTTCTGAACTAATGTCTTTCACAATCAAGGTTTTATTTGGCAGTTTTTTCATCCCTACTTGTATCCTGTATGCAGAGTTTAATATTCCGTTATTATAAGATTGCTGAGGTAATGTAATTAATAGCTTGCCTTTTGACTATTGTAAAGGTGTGTTCTAGCTCATGGTCTCTTGCCATAAATTTTAACCGACATAAAATAGCCCCCTAATATCCATTTTTAAGTGCTATATGAAGTCTAGTTCAAGTGTGTCATTGAAAAACTCATTCGTCCTATAGCATTTTTTAAATGTTGGAAAACTCTTTGATATCCTTATGACTTATCTGACTGTAATTCCCAGCAATTCCCTATCCATGTTTATCATCTGTTCCTGTGGTATTTTTTCTGATGATCATTGACCCTCTTCCTCTTTTGTTCAACAGATATCGGGTCTTGTTCTTAAATTTCGTCTTTGTAATTAATTTTGTCACTTCAGACATGTCTTGATGCACTCCTTAGTACTTTCTCTGTTTTTACTTTGTGTTGTAATTGGTGACAATTCCACACCAGCTCACATACTTAAAAATGGGTTTTATGTATAAAGTAGTGTTTGAAGAGTCTTTGTTTAGGTTACTCATTGCCACTTATGTTTGCAAGTTTAGCTTGTGCACTTCAAGGGACAGGCTTGGTTTTTTTCTTTAATTATTTTAATGAGCTTTTCTTTCCCCCCCAGATGATACTTGTCTTCAGTCTTGTTTCCCTAACTTTATTTAACTATTCCTGAAGTCTGTCCAGGTCTTCCTACAGTCTTATTTCGTCCTCTGTAGTTTTTATTTTCATCATTTTTACATCATTCACAAATAAGGATATGTAGAAGTTAACCTCTCTAACCAAGACATTTTCTGTAAATACATAAGGAATAATATGGGCACTGATTCTTGTTGAATTCCATTAGCTTCTTTTCCTCCATCCTGATATTAAATTCCTTATAGGGAATTTTTTTGCTTGGTTATTCAATTGTTCACCTATCCATGTTAACAGTTTTTTCTTATGCTTTCTGCTTGCTTCTCTTATTTGCCATGTTACCTTCTCTGTGGCACTCTATCAAGGGCCTTATTGTATTCTGGATATATACAGTTCACTCATCCTTCTCTTTCCTGTCTTACCCTCCTTGATACTGATAAAGGGCTCTTGACAAAAAGAATTGGAGTTACCTTTCTCTTGAATTAAACCTGATTACTTCCAATTCCTTTTTTTTTTGTTTGTTTGTTTGTTTTTGCAAGGTTAGGTTAAGGATCCTTAGCTTTATTGACAAGCTATTTACAAATTAAGGCTTTCTAACTTTATTGATGTGCTAAGAGCTGTTCTTCATGAATGTATTGTATAATAATCCTGTTTGGCCTCTCTCAGTCACATATCTGTACAAGGTTTGCAAGGCACAGTCTTCCATTTCTGAATCCATGCTTGTACTCTATGAGGAATTTAGTGCTTACAATTTATTTCAAGAAATCTCTTATAAAATTTATCAGTACAGCAATTTACACATTTCACCCATTAAGAACATTAGCCTTAATTCTGGGCTTCCTGCCTGTTTCCTTTCTTGAATATTGGTATCACATTTGCTATCTTGCATTCTTCTAGCACTTCACCTGTCATTAATGAGTTGTTAATGGTTAATGTGAGTGATGCATAATATTCATGGTGATAGTCCATTTAGTATTGGTGGTTTCCATGTATCAGTGGCTTAGATGTACAGTGTCGAGTTTCCTTCAGGAGTCCCCTTGCTTGGTAATTGGTTGCTTAAGGGCTCAATAGTTCTATTTAGTTTGTTTCCCATTTAATCTCTGGTATTGGTCCTTGTTCATTTTTAAACTATGAATTCTTCTGTTGGGTGTGTTGCATATCTTTCTACCATTATCTGTGAGTGTTCTCTTTCTTCTCAGTCTTACTAGATGCTGCTTGACCCCTATGGGCTTAGCACTTTCCCATGACAGTAATAATAGTATGTACTTCTCGGTGCTGTTACAATTATTGTCATTTTCCTTCTAATGTGTCTATGAAGAAGCTTTGGATTTGTTTTTGTTTTGGCTATCATATCATTTCAAATTGGTTTTCAGCTTTGCTCCTCAACAGAAAAAAATAGTTTCTTCTTGTTCTTATGCTTTCTTGCTTTCGTTATACAATTTCACCATGCATTTGCATTCCTGGATATTGCCTCCTTACATGATTGATTGAGCCATAGGTTTTCCCACTGTTTATTTTCTCATGGTTAAAAATGTCATTTCCTGAGTGGATTTTTCTCAAATTCATCCTCCCACTATACACAAGCCAAAAAATGCATCTTCTCCAATTTCACTTTTTTTTTATCAGTTTCATTTCCATTAGGTAGCAGAATGTCAACACACACATTCCCTGCCCCGAGCAGCATTCCATATTCTGTTTTCTTTGTAGGTATGCTAGAAATGAAAATGTGGTTCAGCCATATCCAATCTGTACTCTTACTTTCATTGATTCTTAAACAAGTTGTTTTAGTAAGTATTGCTTTATAGATTTAAACAGTTTGTTCCTCAGTATTTCTGGGCTTCCATGTGGTTCCCAGTTCACCACAGCATATGTGTCTGTGTTTGCAGTCCCCTACTGTAATTCAAGGCTTTCCATGTCTATTTTATCAATAAACTTATTGCATTGTTCTTGTCATATTCCTATGTAGGTTTAATGTTATTTGGGGGTGAGTTGTAGATAATAACAATACAGTAAATACTTTAGTAGTAACTTCCATTATTATTGAACCAACTATCAGAGACCTCATTGCACTCTTCTACAGAGGGATTTTATTTTTATTTCCTAATTCTGACCCTATACTTTAGAGATCGTTGGTCTGAACAAGTTGTGCTTAATATAAAAGCAATTGGGTTTATGATCATCTTTGTTTTGTCATTGCCAATAGTGGGAAACACTGCTCTCTGACTGGGCATTGGTCACACTAGCTTGCTCGTGGCCATTTCTCGGAAAACTGTCTGTCACCACTCTAAGAATTGCTGAGTCATGCTGATAATCCAACATCTTTTGATGTTGCTTTATTTATTAGAAGTGCTCCATTTATTAGAGATTATGTTGTTAACATTTTCAACTCCTTCAGTGTTCAAACATGCTTTCTCTGCCTCCTGTCTCTAAAGCCTACCTTTAATATAAATTTGATCTAAAGCTGATTTACTGCAAATTTGAATTCTTCCATTTGCTTTCATACTCATTTGCTACTTTTATTTTCTATTCCTAATATCAACCTCCCTTATATATCTTTCACCATGCAGCACTGAATGATTCTCCCCAACTACTGAACAGCTGTTGAATGTCTTTCCTTGTCCCCTTTTCACCTAGCACAAAATGACTCCCCAGCTATTGAATGAGTGGTGGTGAATGTGTTATCTTCTTTGGTTTACCCACCTTGGTGAGAGATGGCCGATGTAGTAAAAAATCATTAGTGGAATAGTATGATCTTTTCAGGGTATAGCGAGTACAGACTTTCAGTACGTACCTGGATACTTCGTAACAAAATACAGAATATTCCATAAATCATACAACATATATAAATGCTGTATACTCTCAGTTGAAATATTGTAATACTCTACCATTTGTATTGTCACTTATGCTTCTATGTCAGCTTTATATCACCTGAGACTTTTTTTTTTTAATTATCAGTGTTTACTCAGAATTTCTGTTGCGATTTTTTATGAAATATTTTAAGGAACATATTTCTAGTTGGCATTTGATAATGTTAGTGCATAACTTGTATACTGTATTGTCTTTCTCTGAATTTACATAATCAGAAGGAGTATAATTCTATACTGTCATGTATTATGGTTTTATACTCCTTAGAGCATAAAGTGCATGAGTAATTAATTACATTACATATATGTACAGTATTGCATATTTGTCTTGCAGCTTTAGTAAATTTGTAACCAGTGATTGTAATAGCAGTGTAATTAATTAAATGAATACAAAATAAATATCTTTATTTTATTTCCTTAGGTTTTCAGTCACAAAAGGCAATGTGCCGAGTTTTGACTTGCATTGTGTATGTATTATGAATATACATCATATGCAGATTTTGTGAAGTTTTGTACCAAAGCTAATTGAAATGCTTAGACTGTTTAGTCTGTGTAGATGTAAATTTGCCAGTATATTATCAACTAAAAAACTCTGAATCTTTTGGTTCTGTGATGGCTCAAGAATACTTTGATCTGGTCAGCCTTTTTAACTTTCAACATTTGTGTCTAAGGGAAGGAAGGTTTAGTATTTTAGTTAGCTATGTGGCCTCTAACTAGCTCGCTGTATAGCCCTTGTGGCTTAGCACTTCTTTTTGATTATAATAATAATAATTCTAACTAGCTAATTTTTCCTCCAAGGAGAAGGTAGCCCTAATTCCTTGGCTCAAGAGCCCATTGCCAGCATCAAAGTATTACAGTACATTATAGAAAGCTGGAAAACAACAATTTTTGTGAGTCTAGGAGGCTTGTGCAAAACTGAGGCTGACCAGTATTAATATATTCATGCGGAAACACTGAACACATGAGGATCATATAGCTCTTTTCTAATACTTCCCACAAGGGAGGTTCCTTGATGCTGGTGAGGGGCTCTTGATTTAGGGAATTGGATCTCTGCTCCGGTTCCCTGAATTGAACCTGAATACCTTCCATCCCCCCCCCCTCAAGTGCTGTATAATTCCAATGGGTTTAGCTCTCCCTATAATAATAATCTAGTAAACAATAATTATATTAGGCAGTCAGGTTTGATAAGAGGGAGTGGAGGGTAGCAGGTAGTTCCAGTTTCTTGGACTAAGAGCCCTAAGCTGTGCCATCATTACCCTGAATATCTGAAGTAGCGATCATTGTATATACAATAGAGCAATATTATCAGTATTCATGGGGAAGCGCTAAACCTTTAATGGTCGCAGTGCCTAGTGGAATGAGAAGTGCCTCATTAAGGTTTAATCCATGGAAGGAAAAGGCAGGTCCAATTCACTGGACCAAGAGCCCCTTCACCGGTGCGAAGGAACCTCCCTTGAGGAGTACAATAGATCAAATTTTGGCCAAAAGTAAATAATACAAAGATTTATCATTATGTTTATTATGCAAATACACAAGAGAAGTCACCGGAGTGAGAAAAGGTATACAAGAAGCAGCAGCAACAGTTATTCATGTTTAGTAGATGGTAAAGGTACATGACCTTAATACAACGTTTGAACATGCGTCATGATGAGCACATTAACCGGATGAGCAGCCATATTGGCGGTCCGGGAGCGTAAATACATTACATGCTAAACAACCATAGGGGGAGTTGAATGATAGCTCTAGACCTTTCGTGTTACAATCAACATATCTTCAGGAGCTGCAATGTTGCAGAAATAAGCAGGAAGTTCAGGTAAATTCGTTCAAGAGAAGATGCTAAGTCTTCCCCCGAACAAATAAAACCGGGCCCATGATCTCTTTTCAACTCCCCTGGATTTTTTTGCATCTGTACGCTTGTTCGCGTTTATTGCGCGTTATTCATGAATTGGGTACATTTACAAACCCACTATGCAAATAAACCACAATATTAAAACTTAAAGGAAAAATGTGCTTTGGTTATTGAATACTTTTTTCCCAAGTTTCCCGAAAAGGTCATATACTTAAGCATAAGTGTACGCCAGTGATTACAGTTTTTAGTAACAAAAAAATTTAAGAAACTCAACCATGAAAAGCCCTTTCTTATGAACAAAACGGTTTTTTTTGGACTAGGCTTCAGCCCCATACTTTTGGGAAAACTACCAAAAAACTATTTTAGGCCCCATTTTTCAAAAATTCTCCCCTGACGTATATGATTTAAATGCCAGTGTTATCCCGGGTGGTTTAGCGTTTTGTTTTGATTATAAAAATAGTAGTGACGTACAGGGGGTACAACATATAGTTTCTGTGCTGTTCTTTCTATTATTATTTAAACGTAACCAACGTTAAAAACCCAAGGGGCTACGACAAACTCATTATATAAACGAGTGACTTACAGCCGAGGGAAAAGTAAACAATGGCAATTATTTATTAATGGAAGAACCTTAAATGCATTAAATTTCACCTAAAGCAAGAAGGCCTCCATGGGCCAGGCCCCCTGGAACCAGGGGTCTTGGGGCCCGGCCTCCTGGTGGACCAGGCCTCCCGGTGGACAGGGGTCTTTGGGGGACCAGGCCTCCTGGTGGACCAGGCCTCCTGGTGACCAGGGGTCTTGGTGGGCCAGCCCCCTGATGGACCCGGCCTCTTGGGGACCAGGCTCTTGGGGGGCCCGGGCCCCCTGGTGGACCGGCCTGGTGGACCAGGCCTCCTGGTGGACCCGGGGCTTGGTTTACCAGGCCCCTGATGGACCGGGCCCCTTGGTGGAGCAGGGGCCCCCTGGTGGACCAGGCCTCTTGGGGGACCAAGCCCCCTGGTGGACCCGGGCCCCTGGTGGGGCAGGCCTTGGGGACCCGGGGCTTGGTGGACCAGGCCTCCTGTGGACCCGGCCTCTTTGGGGGCCAGCCTCCTGGGGGCCAGGCCCCTGGGGGACCAGGGCCCCCGGTGGACCAGGTCTCCCGGTGGACAGGCCCCCCTGGGGACCAGGGGCCCCCTGGTGGACCAGGCCCCTGTGGACCGGGCTCCTGGTGGCCAGGCCCCCTGGTGGACCAGGCCTCCTGGTGGACCAGGCCCGGTGGACCAGGGGCCCCCTGGTGGGCCCGGGCCCCCTGGGGGACCGGGCTCCTGGTGGGCCAGGCCTCCTGGGGGACCGGCCTCCTGGTGGCCAGCCCCTGGTGGACCGGCCTCCTTGGACCGGCCCCCTGGTGGACCCGGCCTCCTGGGGGACCCCCCTCCTGGTGGCCAGGTCTCCTGGGACCAGGCCTCCTGGTGACCGGGCGTCTGAACAACCCGCCTTTAGGGGTTACATTTCCTCTGGGGGCGTTTTAAAATTAGAAAAACAGGAAAAAACACACGATGGCCACACTTAAAATCTCTTAAAAAAGACCAAAAATGCCCGGTTTGCAATTTAAAAGGGCCCAGACTGAAATACATAGCAACTTGTTTTGAGAATCATAATGCCCAACCATAAATTTTATAAAGCCCATTGCTGTACTTTTAAAAAACAGTTAAATTTACAATATGCTCGAATACAAATGGGAGGTTTTTTTGGCTTTAGGGCCCATTCTTACTAGAATGATTAAGGGGAAATCCTCTCGTTCTAACCATTTAAATCATCTTATCCCCCCAAAAATAAAGATGAAGTAAGTCAAGTGTATGTACAATGGAAAGGGTTTTTCAGACTATATTCTAAAACCAAGTCTACAATACTAACCGTTGAAAAAGTTTTTTTTGGGATTAAGTTGCCTTTTCCCTCTTTATTGGGGTTTTACTGATCAATTTTTCACATTAATTTTGACACAAAATTATAGGAATTAAAAAAAACACAACATTTTAAAAATTGTGAACTTTTATTTTTTTTTTTTTTCAGTTCCCCCCCCCCCCCCGCTTTTTCTGTGATTGGGTCCCCCTTTTTATTTAATTTCATCCTATTGAGTAATAATGACTCATATTATTTTTGTTTAGGGACAAATTAAAAATAGTTGTATTATTAAAATAAATTTTTATATATATATATAATATATTATTATTTATAATATATATATAAAAATTATATATATAATTTTTTAAATTATATAAAAAAATTTTAAATTGTTATGAATTTTCTTCAAAAAATGGATAACGAAAATTGACTTTTTTTTTTCTCTCTCCTAGCGAATTTTTAAAATTATGAAATTTTTAGTGTTATGGGCAAATTAATTTTTTTATAATAAGAAAGGGTAAAAAAAAGTTGGGTTTAGCATATTGATTTTTTTTGTGGGGGGAATCTTCAGTCACCCTCAAAATTTCTTATCTTCTTGGAAATAATAAAACCATCTTCGGGCCATGTTGTGGAAAAAAATAAAAACTGCAGAAAAAATACCGTTGGAAATTTTTAGATACCAATACACTTACTTCCCAAAGAAGATAAATTACACTGAACTAACTAGTGTAAATCTTCAAAATGTACATATGTACCCTATTTTATTTTGACTGGGCTACATATGGACTCAGATAGGGAAGACATTACGTTGGCACTGTCTTGATCTTTATAGACCCACGATCCATTTTGAAGGAAAAAAAATATTACGACAGAGTACCCAATAACTTTGTGAGCGACACATATACCAACGTCATCGTTCCTAATCCTTTCTCTATGACTCACAAAGTCGTATTAACACGATTACAAACAAATCAGGGAACGGGAGGGGTTTAAACCCCTTAGGAAGTGAGTGTTAAAAATCACAGGCCAGTGCAGTTTTAGGACATACTTGCCATGGGTTCGAGCCCCACCTGCTCCATGATTTATTTCTCTAGTATTACCTTAATTTCTTATGCAATTTTTACGATACGGTGTCTTCCTTAAGCATTCATTTGCAAGCTTATAGTATTAATGAGCAAGTAGACGGATGTGGAGAGAAATTTGATGTGTAATTGCTTTTAGTTGTGATGATAAGTACAGTTATGTCTTAATTTTTTGACTGACCTGCAAAATTTCTCTTACTGATTTTTTCACATCTCGGAGCAAATTTAATTATCAATTTTCAAAAATTACATATAACGTTGCAGTGCATCACAACACAGACATTCCACATCGATTAGTTTCTCATCAATCCTTTAGTTAATATTTAAAGTCGTGGAGATTTGTTCGTCAGGAAACTGGAAACTGTCTCCCAACGTGGGTCTTAGTCGTGGGGTGTCAGGAAAATAACCTACTATAAAGTAATAAGCAACTGCTGGTTTACTTGCATTATGTACACATGGCTAAGTAATATTTGCCTTACAGATATGTACCCAGAGTTAGTCTTACAGATGTTATGTACCCATAGTTAATCAGTCTTACAGATGTTATGTACCCATAGTTAATCAGTCTTACAGATGTTATGTAC